TGCCTGTTTGTGAGAGTTACTCAGTTTTCCTGGGTCTTTCTCACGTAACCAGGAGGTATACAGATTACTAAACTTTTGTTTGATTTTCTCTTCTTAGTATCTCCTGCCTCATGTCTATTTAATTATTAGAGCAGCCAAAGCACTTAGAAGGGAAGGAGGGAAAGCTTCTCTTACCCCTGCATTACTTCTTGCATTTCCTGAGTCTCAGTCTCCTCTTCTGTAAAACAAAGAGTTTGAACGGTTATCGGCTGGTTCAAAAGTTCTGTGAGTTTCTTGTAATCACGTCAACCAGATATGATCATTATTCAGCATCTGGAAGTAATGCTCCCTCTGCTAACTCCCTGGAGCATTTTATCTATGTGTTAAAAATGGACATTTATCACTTTCTGTCTTAAGTTCCAGTTATTCATGGACATTTATTTCTTTTTTACCCCCTCCCCAACTGGACTAAGTGCTCTTGGCAGGGTGTCTTTTCCATCCTTGTATCCTGCCACCTCCCCCCCGATCCGCCAAGCCCCAGCATAACACTTGGCATACAACTTTCGTCCAGTAACATTCAAGTGTGGATGAAAAATGCATGAGTGACGATGGCCACTATTCACTCTTTGTCCTCGGGCGGGGTGACTTGATTTAGAATTTTTCTTACAAAAAGTACATTCTTTCTATTTGATATAATTTAATATATGTGTTCCAAAATGCAGAGTTAGAGACAAATCTCCGTTTTCAAGATACTAGTGTTTTAGAAGAATCTCAGTGAACGGTTCCCTTACAGGGTCTCTTCCTTACCAGCCTTTAAATCAAAGCAACGTGTTGTTCAAGTTTTCTGGAAGATGTTGCTCTACCAATTTTGTCTCGCCTGCTCTCTCTGCCCCAAGTTGATGGATTACTGGTTGGCAACAATTCCCCTCTCACTGCGGATACAACACACCATTGATGTTGGGTGAAACCAGGTTGGCTGGCTTCAGCCAAAGGAATGTTAGCAAATGTGATACAAGCAGAGGTCTTAGATGTGCCTGTATGGTTTTCCTTGCCTCTTGTGCCCCTGCTATTTATCATGCAAAGAACATGGGGAAGAGACCACAACACAAACTGCAGCCCAAACTGCAGCCTAGATCGGCCAAAGCACAGCCAACCTGCAACACCACGATTAAAGACTCAATGAACAAGATACTGGCTGTTGGGGTTGTTTGTTATGCAGCATTATTGTAGCAGTAGCTGACCATTACTTCCAATTTCTAATTTTATCCTTGTATATGTCTACTTTTCCCCAAAATTCATCATGATTATCTTTGTGCTTTTGGGATAGAGATAGATGCCTTGCTTGGACATCCTTTTTTTTTTTTTTTTTTTTTTTTTTTTGGTTGTGACAGGTTGGTCAAGCAGGTGACTTCTAGTGACCAAGCCTGCATTTTGAGAATTGAGTTGAGTATCTTTGATTCTCTATGGTTGTGTCCATGCTTAATTTGTTCTTTATATTTTTTTAGACATTTTAATTTTTAATGTTTATTTTTATTTTTAAGGGAGGTGGTGTAGGGAAGGGTCAGAGAGAGAGAGAGACAGAGGATCTGAAGTAGGCTCTGTACTGTCAGTATGGAGCCCCATGCAGGGCTTGAACTCATGAATTATGAAATCATGCCCTGAGCCAAAGTCAGATGCCCAACTGACTGAGCCATCCAGGCGGCCCTGTTGTTCTTTATCTTTTAAAATAATTTGCGGGGGCACCTGGGTGGCTCAGTCCGTTAAGTGTCTGACTTTGGCTTAGGTCATGATCTCACAGTATGTGAGTTCAAACCCCGCATCAGGCTCTGTGCTGACAGCTCAGAGCCTGGAGTTTGCTTCTGATTCTGTGTCTCCCTCTCTCTCTGCCACTTCCCCACTTGTGCTCTGCTCTGTCTCTCAAAATAAATAAAAAACGCATTAAAAATTTTAAAATAAAATAAAATAATTTGGAACACAGCCTCTGGAAACATTACATGATTCATTAAATTTTCTTTAAAAATTAACACACATAGGGGCACCTGGGTGGCTCAGTCGGTTAAGACTCAGTCGGATCATGACTTCTGCTCTGGTCATGATATAACAGTTTGTGAATTTGAGCCCCATGTCAGGCTCTGTGTTGACAGCTGGGAGCCTGGAGCCTGCTTCGGATTCTGGGTCTCCCTCTCTCTCTGCCCCTCCCCTACTCATGCGCGTGCACACGTGCTCTCTCACTCTCTCTTAAAAATAAACATTAAAAAAATTTTTAAATTAACACATATATTGTATATCATATTTTATGAACTCTGAAGTTCCAAATCACTCTTCCTTATTTAAACCAATGGATGAAAAAAATTTAGAAAATAATAAATAAATAAACCAATGGATGAAATACTTTTCCTAGGATTAAACAATTAAAAAATAAACTTGGCTTAAAATAAGGGCATTCATATATTTCTTAAATGAGGTGAAATTTATATAACATAGAACCAACCGTTTTAAAGAAGGGCATTAGTTTTAATCTACTCTAGTAACTGGCTGGCTATTGCTTGCATCTTAAATGTCAGGGTAACCACGATTTGGGGTAAAAAGTAGAATCAGAGGGGGAGAGGAGAAGAAAATGCCAAGAGGAGTTCAAGAAGAAGGAGAGAAGGTAGGACCGGGAGGAGAGAAGGCTGGAAAAGGAAGACACCCCCACATGGTTACTCCGTGGCTGTCCCTCTGCTCACAGCCCTGGGCTCCATGGGCTGCGGTGGGTGGAACCAGGGTCCGGATGCCCCCAGAGCCACCCAGACAACGTCGGCACCCCCAGCATCCATTACTTAAGTCAGTTTCTAATTGCATATAATCTAGGAACTAGTGGGGGGAAAATTGAACTAACAAACATTATTTATTTTTTTTCATTTGCCTTTGCTTTTTTTTTTTTTTAGAGAGAGAGAGCGAGAGAGCACGAGTGGTAGAGAGAGGGGGAGAGAGAGAGAGAGTCTTAAGTAGGCTCCAAACCCAGTCAGAGCCTGACGTGGGGCTGAACTCATGACCCTGAGATTATGACCTGAGCGGAAATCAAGAGTGGGAAGCTCGACCAACGGAGCCACCCAGGAGCCCCTCACTTTTTTTTTGAGAGAGAGAGAGAGAGGGTGAGCAAGCACCTTTGCATTTTCAAGCGGGAGGTTAAGATCTTGAAAGTCCCCAATTTTGACTCGGGTCTAAGATTTCTTCTCTATTCGCTCAGGTTTGGAGCATTTCCCTAACTTGTGAGACTTGAGTCTATTTGGCCTGGATGGTTTCTAATCCTCCTCCCACATTGCCGGGCACCCCTCTCCCTCCTCCCTGCAGGCTTGCTGACTGATCTCTGCTTCAGCTACTGAGCATGAGTCTATGGCAGGGCCTGGGGACTAGGTTGAACTCCTTTTCCTGGTAATTCTACCACGCTATAAGCTTTCGTTCACACGAGCTTGACGTGGGGTTTTCCAGGGGCTGCGTGATGTGTGACATCACAACAGTTGAAATGCAGAGGCAGACACGAGACTTCGGCTTCTGTTCAGCCAGACATTCAAGAGACTTGCACACATTTAAAATACTACCATCTCTGCAATTTTTTTCTTTCGGAAAATATAAATAAACAAATGTTTTTCATAAAAATAAGTTACGTACATTAACATTTAATGGGCTTAATATTTGAAAGGTTTCTCACTTCCTTAAAAAAATTTTTTTTCTTTAAATTTTCTTTTTTTGAACGTTTATTTATTTTTGGGACAGAGAGAGACAGAGCATGAACGGGGGAGGGGCAGAGAGAGAGGGAGACACAGAATCGGAAACAGGCTCCAGGCTCCGAGCCATCAGCCCAGAGCCTGACGCGGGGCTCGAACTCCCGGACCGCGAGATCATGACCTGGCTGAAGTCGGAAGCTTAACCGACTGTGCCACCCAGGCGCCCCCCCCAAAAAAATTTTTTTTAATGTTTATTCATTTTTGAGAGACAGAGCATGAGCTTGGGAGGAGCAGAGAGAGGGGGAGACGCAGAATCTGAAGGAGGCTCACGGCTCTCGGCTGTCAACACAGAACCAGACACAGGGTTCAAACCCACGAACTACAAGATCATGACCTGAGCCGAAGTCAGACGCTTAGCCAACTGAGCCACCCAGGCGCCCCCCAAATTTCTCCCTTCTAACGTGGTAAATACCGATGGTTGTCTCCCACATAAACAAAAGCTCTTTGGAGTCCTGAAAGGGGTGTACGATCTGGAAGCCTGAGGACGGCTGGCCAGTGTGCCTACACTTTCCTCCCCCACAGCTGCTCAGCCTGGTGGAAAGAGAAAGAGAAGATTATGGAAGGGGCCCTGGGTACTCAGCCTCTGCTCTGGTGAGGTCCTGAGTAGGTCTGCGCTGTGGGGCTGCACCATCGTGGGGCTGCTCTTGGTTGGGGGGGGGGGGGGGGGGGGGGCACTGAGCCTTTCCAGTGCTGGGCTTTGCAGACCACCTGCTCCAGACTCTCTCTGCAGGTCCTTCCAGGTCACCGGCCCCAGCAGCAGCCTGAGGCTGGCAGAACGTGGCATTTGCACTGAGAGAATTAATATATAAATGGACAATGGAGAGACTATATATATATATATATATATATATATATAGACATAAAACCTCGGGCTGCCTGGGTGGCTCAGTCAGCTGAGCGTCCGACTTCCACCCAGGTCACGATCTCGTGGTTTGTGGGTTCAAGCCCCGTGTTGGGCTCTGTACAGACAGCTCGGAGCCTGGAGTCTGCTTCGGATTCTGTGTCTCCTTCTCTCTCTCTGCCCCTCCCCTGCTCGCACTCTTTCTCAAAAATAAACAAGCATTGGGGCGCCTGGGTGGCGCAGTCGGTTAAGCGTCCGACTTCAGCCAGGTCACGATCTCGCGGTCCGTGAGTTCGAGCCCCGCGTCGGGCTCTGGGCTGATGGCTCGGAGCCTGGAGCCTGTTTCCGATTCTGTGTCTCCCTCTCTCTCTGCCCCTCCCCCGTTCATGCTCTGTCTCTCTCTATCCCAAAAATAAATAAAAACGTTGAAAAAAAAATAAAACAAGCATTAAAAACAAACAAACAAAAAAAACCCCCCAAAACCCAACATAAAACGTCTGCAGCAACCAGCCCCAAACAGTCAGGACTTGGTCAGTGACTCGCAGCTCCCCTAGATTTTGCCTCTGCTTCTAACTCAGCCAACCTGAGAAACCAATCCCAAAGGATGCCGCCCTTCTGGTTAGCTTCCCTGCCCCCACACCCTCTGACCATGGCCCACACGGAGCCTTCCCCCTGGTCCAGTATGAAGCTTTGCCACTCCCTGCTTTGCTTGCTTTTGAGTCTCTGCCAGAGCAAGTGTTACGGGCTGTGTCCCCCAGAAATTCGTATGTTGAAGTCCTGATCCTCCCTCTCTCAGAATGGGGCCTTATTTGGAAATAAGATCACCGCAGATGTAATTAGTTAAGATGAGGTCATACTGGGGTAGAGGGGGCCCCTAATCCAATATGACTGGTATCCTTATAAAAAGGGGACATTTGGACCCAGATGAGAACGCTGTGTGAACACGAAGACGGAGGCCTGGGTGAGGCATTCACCAGCCAAGGCACGTCAAAGTGTGCCCACAAGCCACCAGCCGCTAGGAGAGAGGCCTGGAACAGCTTCTCCCTGGCACCTTCAGAGGGAGCCTGGCTCTTCAGAGACCATGATCTCAGACTCCTGCCTTCCAGAACTCTGAACGCGTCAATTTGGGCTGTCGGAGGCACGTGCTTTGTGGTACGTTGTTACCAGAGACCTCGCAGGGAACGCAGCAGGTGACGGTGGCTGACTCCTTTGCTAGAGCAAGCTGCGGGTAAATGATGATCTTTGCCTGCTCTCACCGCCGGTCTTCGTCTATTTCCACAGCACCCACCGCCCTGCAGTGGGAGGGCCAGGCCTTCAGACGGAGTTAGCAGGACCCCGGGCGGCCAGGCTTTTTGTCAGAAGCCCAGAGAGTAGGGGGCTGCAGGAAGCATTTTCTCAGGCTGGGGGTGTGGGGCTCTGACCTGGCCGGGTGATGCCCTGACAGGCTCCGGACTGATCTTCGTGTGGGCCCCGGGGCTATTCTGCCGTCCCTTCTGCGGCTGGTGACCCAAGGACCTCCCATGAGGCGGTGGGGACCTGGGCCTGGCTCAGGGAGGTGGTGGGCAGACCGCTGAGCAGGCCTCTCCCCGACCCCCAGACCCCAGGTGCTCAGGAGGTGGCTGTGCCCCTGGATCGGTGCTGCCCTTGTATCCCTATGGCGTAAAGCGTTCGGGGCTCATTCAAAGGTGTCTCTTGTCCGACTGAGCGCCGCTGCCTCCCGCAGGGGCTAACTGGAAACAAGTTATTTTGAGATCAGCACAGGCTGTGCAGATAACAGTAACAGTATTTTATTGCTGAAGTAGCGTGAGAAATGTTGGGGGGGGGGGACAAGAATGTAGATGAGTTTAAAAATAGAAGGCTGTAATTAGCCAAGCGTGGATTTGTTCTAGAAGGCATCGATTACTACGGCAACCACACATCCGGGATTTTCCAGGACAGCCTCCCTTCGGTAGGACCCGATTCTTTTCAGTGAAGGTGATCCGTTAAACGTCCAAATGCAATCGAATGTTATGGAGTTACACGACATTGCGCGTGAATTCACTCACTAAAGCCACATAAACACTTGATCGTGTCAGGACTTCTTGTCTTTCTTTTTTTGCTATGGAAATCTCGTCGCGGCGGCCGGCCGTGGTCTCTTCCGACCGGTTAAGAGCTGGTTCCGAGGCTAAGACTTCAGGTCGGTGTGTGTCTGAAGCGGGGAACCCCGAGAGACGGCGAAGGGGAGAGTAGTCTTCAACTTCTTGACCTTCTTGACCTGCAGACGTTGACATCTTTTTTTTTACTGGCCGTGATTCCAAGGGATCGGCTCTCGAGTCTTTGCTGTATTCCATGGACGCAGTGCCCCATGCAGTGCCAGAGGGGTTCTGCAGGGGACACGCATGTGGCTCGTTGTGGCAGGTATATGTGCTTACCCACGCAGGGACAGGCGTGTGCTGAATGGGGGGTGCGTGAAATCAGCCCTGCAGAGCCTGGAGCCCAGAGCTTGGGGCCAGAGAGACCAGAGCGCCTTGGGGGCACCGGCAGGCGAGGGTGGGGGGCGGCCCCCCACGTGGGGTAAGAAGCCATCTTTCTGTTTCCGGCCTCCGTGGTTCTCCGAGGAGGGAAGGGTTGGGAGACAGATGGAGGCCAGCAGGAGCCCAGGGCCCCGGGGGGGGGGGTGGGGGCTCGTGTTAGCACCAGAAACCTACATGTTGGAAACTTGCACCTTCATGGCTATTTGCATTTTTAAGGATTCCCCTAGTTTTCTGCAGCCTTTTATTAACATTCTTTTGCAAATATCAGCTAATTTTGGTGATACTCAGGAGATAAAAGGAAAGACACTTTGATCTAGGATTGGAATTTTGGTGGGTATAATGGAAATCTGAGTTTTATTTATTTATTTTTAATTTTTTATTTATTTTGAGAGAGCACAAGCAGGGGAGGGGCAGAGAGAGGGAGAGACAATCCCAAGCAGGCTCTGCACCATCAGCTCAGAGCCCGACTCGGGGCTTGAACTCATGAACTGTGAGATCATGACCTGAACCGAGATTGAGGGTTGGATGCTTAACTGACTGCGCCAGCCAGGCACCCCTGGAAATCTCAGTTAAAAAAAAAAACTCCATAACTCCAAGGGGAAGGCAGATCTTGGAGGGAGGAGCCTGGGACTCTGGGAAGGACGTAAGTTGAAAAACATGCCCCTCTCTACAAGCATCTCTCTAGACTTCTTCTCTGCTTAAACTTCAGGCGGGGTTTGCACTTTGGTTTTTTTAAAATTTATTTTTATTTTTTTAATATTCATTTTTGAAAGACAGAGAGAGCGAGCGAGCACAGGCAGGGGTGGGACAGAGAGACAGGGGGACACAGAATCCGAAGCAGGCTCCAGGCTCTGAGCTGTCAGCACAGAGCCTGATGTGGGGCTCAAACCCACGAACCGTGAGATCATGACCTGAGTCGAATTCGGACGCTTAACTGACACCCAGGTGCCCCTGTGCTTTGGTTTTACCACGAAACTGTTCCGTGTTCTTTACAGCTGACTGTGGCAGCCTTGGGGGTGGCATCTCAAAAAACTTGCCCCCAACACTAGGTTTTGGTGGTAAAACAGATCTCGAGGCGTGTGGACCACCAGCATCCGGAGCTCTGGGGCATCCTGGGCATGGCAGAAATCCAGCCTCCTCTTCAGACAAGATTGAATCTGAAGCTCTGGGTCTTGCGACCTCAGGATCTGCATTTTCAATACGCACCTAATTGATCTTTAAGCACAGTGGACTTTAGGAGCCACTGCTGCTAACGCTCAGAAAGTCGACTTGAACTCTCAACCCAGTCTTACCTCCTCTGTCCCAAAAAAAGGGAAGGACCACTTCAGGGCTCCAATGCCACGTGCCCGAGTTCCTTCTGCTGAGTGGCGTGGGCATGTGCGTGCCTCTGTAAGGCTGACGCCCTGCCAAAAGATAGCCACAGGTGGACATGCCCTCAGTGAGGCTCAAAAGACGTGTACTATTTCCAAAGATAGCAACACCAAACCCGTGCTGATGACTGTGTGTCTATATGAGTGTGGCTGCACAGCCTTATATAGCGAGCAGGGGCTGCAGGAGGGATCGGCGGGAGAACAGCGTGTGCAGTGAGCTCCTGAACGTGCCATGTGCTCAACGCCCTGATATGGAAGGTCACCATGTGTCTGCGTCTGTCTTTGGAGATCGCCCAGCCTAGTGTGGCAAACAGCTCATAAGTGCCTGTGGCGAGCAGAGTGGGGCAGCTGAGCCGTAGCTTTTGCAAATGGGAGTAAACATCTGGAATGGCTTTTTGTGGCAATGGGGCTGTCATCAGTGTTACTGACAGATGCGAAGGAACCTCGTTTGGTTCTGGAGGATAGCTAACCCACGGGGCCATGATAGGTAAGTTGAGGCAGGTCCCAAGCAGCTAGCTGCCGTGCCCTCTGGCTCGAGTGTCATTTTCTCAGTCATTTCTTGGTTCAACCATCTGAAACAGCACACCCGCTTCCCTTGCCTGCCTTCAAAGCACTCAGCGCCCTCGGGCATTAATGCAGGTGTTCACCATCAAGTCCCTTCTGGAACGTGAGCCCCAGGGAGGCTCCCAGGCTGCGCCGCTTGTCACAGGATTCCCAGTGCCTAGAGTGTTAGTGAATTCTCAGTAGATGGTATCTCACGGGAAGGGTCATGGGCTCAAGCTGGGACCTGCCCACCAGACGTTACTGCTCTGAATGGGTCTGAGCCATGTCAGCGTCCCTGGCACGCCTAGCTGTACACGACAGTGTGCAAACCTGCCGCCGTGGGTTGTATGCTTCCTCTACACCTTGTCCTCGGGGCGGGTCCCGTCCACATGGAGCCTTCCGCTCGTCTCCAGTGTCCCCCAACACACGATTCTCGCTTCCTTCTTCTGGCTTTTGTCTTCTTGTGCCTGGATCCCCCAACTCCAGTTCTTCCAGGGCAGCTCGAGCAGTTCCTTCTGACCAACCCATCCCCATCTTCGCTGACTCCCAGCACTCGCTGGCCTTGGGGCCCTGCCACCGGGGTGGTGCTGCCTGGCTCTGGCTCTTCCAAGGTGGGAGGCAAGTGGGAGTGACGGACCCCCGAGTGCTGGGGCCTGAGCATCCTTTGAAGTCCCTCCTAATGCCTTGCGTGTGTTGGGGGGGGGCACACAGAAGGTGCGCGTGGAACCCTGTGGTTTTAAGTGTTCAGGCTCCCTCCTTATGGGGACTACAGACAGTTCGCTCACGTCTTCCTCTCTGAATCACTGCTACGTCAGGATCCCTTGTTGAATTTGTACAGTTTTTACCAAAGTTATCAGAGGCATGTAGTGGAAGGGTAACAGACTGGAGTCCCTCTCCCCGCGTGATCACACTTCCCAGGACATTCTTCCAACCCTTCTTGTTCTTCCTTCTGGGCGTTTCTTCCTGTGTTGGTTTCCCATGGCTGCTTTTAAACTTACCAAAAACTTAGTGGCTTAAAACAACACAGGTCTATCGTCTTACAGTTCTGGAGGTCAGAAGTCTGAAATGGGTGTCACCGGGCTAATGTCAAGGTGTTGGTGGGGATGGTTCCTTCCAGAAGTTCCAGGGGAGAATCTGTGTCTTTTTGCCTTTTCCAGCTTCTAGAGGCCACCCGTGTTCCTTGGCTCGTGCCCCTTCCTCCATCAGGCACGTCCCTTGGACCTCTGTTTCCGTGGCTCTTCTTCTCCGACCCTCCTGCCTCCCTCCCCTATCTTTCAAGGCCTCTTGTGAGTATGCTGGGTTCGCTGGATGATCTGGGATCATCTCCCTGCCTCAAGGTCACGGACTTCATCCTATCTGCAAAATCCCTTTTGTCATGTTAGGTTCCAGGGATTAGGACCTGGTCATCTTTGGAGACCATGAGTCTGCCAATCATACCTCCATATGAGCTTATACTGTTATTTTCTCAGACCCCTCTTTTTTCACACGACCTGCTGATTTTTCTATTACGAGAGTAGAATTTCTATTTGCCCCACCTGTTCCTCCCCCACCCCCCCGTCCACCCCCGCCATCTACTCTCAGTATTAAGACAGTGGAATAATTGTTTCCTGCAGAGCCAACTCATTTACTGAGATTTCATTCCCTCTCCTGGAGAACATTTTCTCCCTGGACTTCTAGTTGCCTTTATCTCTGTCCTGCAGTTTACTCCCATGTTTCTCCCAGACCCTTTCCTCCTCCAAGAGCCCCTGGACCTCAGCTCTTTCAGGGCCAGGCTGTGCTCTGGGCACCTCACAGCAAGGTGCTTGGGTTTCAAGGGGGAGAGAGAGAGGCAGAGATGGGGAAGGAAAGATACGGAGAGAGAGGAGAGGTGTGTGTGGGGCGCGGTGGAGAAAGGACAAACTCCAGAGCACTGAGGACACTGGCCGAGCCGCTAACTGCCTTTGTGGCCTGGCCCTGGGAGTGGGCAGCGCTGCTCCCGATGCTCTCTAGACATCGAATTCTATTCACGAAGGCTCTGTGTTCCAAGGGGAGGCGGACAGAGACATCACCTCCTGAAGGGAGTACGGCAACATCCGGGAAGAACATGTGAGGACAGAAATACTACAGTCACCAATCTCGGAAAATGCTAATCTACGGTACAGCGTAACACAGTTGTGTCCCCAAAGAAGAAATTTGTTCTCTAATAGACTAGTGGTAGCTGAATAAAAAAAATTACTTGTTTTACTCAATGCCACTTGCTTTTCACCGTATCCCCAGATGCAGCGTGTGCTTTCCTGTGTCCATGGACAACACCAGCACCAGCCTCCGGGAGCCCTTGTGTCTCGTGTTAGTCCCCTTCCTGCTGTCTTTATTTTATATGACCTTATCTCTTTTTCTTTGCTTAGTGTTAGAAAAACTGTTTTTAAAATAATCTTTTCCTTCGAAGGATACATCCAGAAATGGTTGCTCTTTCTAAATATCCTTGAGTATTTGTTTTCATCGTCTGAGAAAATATAAAGCACTCTTGACAGACTTTTGTTTCACGAGAAGACTGATAATGGGTCAACGGCTATGCAGACTATAACCACTCCCCACGACCCCTGTGTGGATTTTGTTTCAAAATCCACGCCTTTGAAAATAAATAATTCCATACAACATCATAATTATAGTACAGTATGTAGCATGTGGACCAGTTGACCCAAATCAGCATCAAATACAAGCCTCAGATTATTTGGGCAAAAAGCAAACCTAATAAATTATGTGTTTTTTATTTATTTAAAACAATTTTAACGTTAATTTATTATTGCGAGACAGAGCATGAGCAGGGGAGGGGCAGAGAGAGGGGGAGACCCAGAATCTGAAGCAGGCTCCAGGCTCTGAGCTGTCAGCACAGAGCCTGATGTGGGGCTTGAACTCACAGACTGCAAGATTGTGACCTGAGCTGAAATCAGATGCTTAACCGACTGAGCCACCCAGACGCCCTGGTTTTTTTTGTTTTTTTCACAGTACTTACAATATTAAGTGCCATATGATGGCAAGCAGCAGCTGCATACAAGCCCCTCTGTGATTATGTATTTTGAGTGCCCCTGAGGTCACCAAAGGAGACCCTACTTCTTTGAGCCCTACAGATATAGGGGCTGCTCAGACATCTGTGACACCTGTCTTTTATCTCAGCTCCTGATCACAAAGGAAACTGCAGTTGGCGCTTGGGAAGCTTCAGCCTGATCAGTGGCCTGTATGACCCTCTGCCATGAAGGATATCCAAGTGTGCTTTGCATTCCCGGCCACCCTGTACAGTGGCGCATGTCACGCACTGAGCAACTTCAGGGACACCATTCTCATAGAGGTCGTCCTAGGTTTTTTCCGGCCGACAGCAATAACGTATCTTGAGGAAGGGATGCCTTTTCCTAATTCACGTAGAGGTGCACACTGCCTGGTAGAGGAAAGAACACTGTGACTGGAATCAAGTTTCCCCAGATTAATAACAATGTTTAATGCTTATGTCACCTTGGCGTTCTTAATCTTTTCTGTAGTGCCATACACAGTTGATTTATTGACTTGTTTTCCTTTTTCCTTTGACTTAATGGTCTTTCTCATTATTTTCTGAATATGGCTGTGCTTTGCTTCCTGGAACGGGAGAAAGAAACGGTTCCGATTTCTGCTGCTCAGAGGGAAGTTTGGTTAGCAGAGAGCCTTCGGATTCATATCCCCAGAGTGTGACCACAGGTGGCTGTGAACACTGAGTAGGTTCATCTGGTCTCAGAACCCCAGAGGGCAGAAGAGCACCCTTCTAAGGCTTGGAGAGTACTGAGTAGGGATTTGCACTTTCCGAAGGATTTGCACTAAGCGGAGAGATCCCGCTTAGATCTCTCTAGAGTCCCTCCTGGGGGGGGGGGGGCCTTTTCCCTTGTGTTCTCTCTTCCCTCTTCCTAGGAACCCAGTGCTTTAATTTACCTCCCCTCTATCAGAAATTCAGGGCTTTAATACATCTCATCTGTCAATGAATCTAGACAGGATGATTCTTAATCTCAGAGAACCGCTAATGGTAACTTCAGGCATTTCCAGGGAATGTTTTTTTTTTTTTTTTAATGTTTGTTTATTTTTTAGAGTGAGTGCGGGGTGGGGAGTGGCAGAGAGAGAGGGAGACCCAGAACTCGAAGCATGGGCTCCAGGCTCCACGGTGTCGGCACAGAGCCCGACTCCGGGCTCCAACTCGCAAACCGTGAGAGCATGACCTGAGCCAAAGTCAGATGCTTAACCGACTGAGCTCCCCAGGCGCCCCTCCAGGGGATGTTTTAAATGGTAGTGGTAGTGGGCTCTGACTCACCTGCAAGTGGCTTAAGTAGTAGATTCGTTTGGCTCCACGAAGGTATCATGTTGGGCCTGAAACGAATGTTCATCTGATATGAATGAATATAAATGGGACAATTTTAATATCCCCTTAGGAGTTCCCTCGGAGAAGTGTATCTGAGGAAGCCCATTTTTTTGCACTCCGTGGCTACGAAGTGGCCCTTTCATAGCCAGGGCACTGTCACCACAGCTGGGGTCCACGGTCTGCCTCCTCCTTCCTCCAGGTCCACGCCAGCTTGGCACTGGGGAACCAGGTGCAGCACGGGAGGCTGGAAACACGGAAGGGGCTCTGGTGGGTACCGGTGACAGGCTGTCTTCTACTGGACATCTGAGGTTAGGCTCGGCGGCTGGCGCCTCGGGGACGCGGGATCAAGTGTGCAGCCGGTTCCCTGACCAGTGCATGGCGGCATCTGGCCAAACCTTTCCCCCCAGACCGCAGGGTCCTGAGGCTGCTCATTCAGAAGCTGCCGGAGGGTGGGGAGGGTTCCGGTCGGAGACGCTGAGATGCAAAGCCTGGCTTTGTGCAATGGACAAGTTCCTCAAACCTGTCTGCACCTCGGTTTCCTTGTCTCTAAAACGGGGAGGACAAAGCGCGCCCTGCAGGGTGGTTAAAGGATAGGTGAACCCTTCTGGGGAGACGCTTGAGCACCGTGGAACGCGCAAACACGAGCTGTGCTCATCACATCTCAGATGAGGTCGACCCCGTATTTCCTGCTGGAATGTTCTCTCGTGCCTCAGATTTTCAGTGGGTGTAGTGGCAAGTGGCGACAAAGATTCTGAGAAGCCGGGAAATCATGCGAGCCGAGGCCCGCACCGACGCCTGCAAACCCGGTCGCCGCTTCCGGCCCCGGGAAGTGCACGTCCAGGGCCTCGGGGTCCCCGGGGCCTGGCTGGATGCGGCAAGAAGAAGCCAAGGCAGCCCCGACGTGCCTGCTGTCCTGGGGGCGCCTCCATCACTTGTACCGGAGCCACGGCACTTCACGGCTCTCGGTTCGAGGGCGCGGTGCCAGCCAGCGACGGACCAACGGGAGGCCAGGATGTCCGCGTTGCTCTCGCGAGAAGCTCCTCGCCGGCGTGGTGGCAGCGGCCTTTCGCCGCGTTGGGCGGAGCTGCGAGGCGGAAGGCAGGAAACCCTCGCCCGACCGGCGGTCACGTGACCAAGCCTCGCGACACGGATTGGTCGGTAGCTTCCGGGCCACGCCCCGAGGGCCGGGCCTGCGCACCGGGGAGGAGGGGCGCTGCCGGCGGAATTGTGTCCTCGCGCGCACTTCGGTCGCGTCGCGCTGGGCGTCTCGCGGTTCGGGTCGCAGTTGGCCTCCGAGCTGCTAAGTCTGCGGCTTGCCGGCACCTTAACTGTGCCTTGCTTCCTGTCCGGCGGGACTCTGTTCCTTGGTGCCCAGCAACGTGCAGGCTAGCTCCCCAGAGTGGGGCTTTCCAGAGAAGGATCCAGGGTCCCAGAGGTGCTCTGGGGATGCAACTCCGCCATGCGGCGTCACATCCTCGTTGTCCCTGCTGTCGTGGTGCTTGAGGGAGGTTGTCGCCGCCCCGAGGGCACCCTCCCAGGAACATCCTTGCAGAGGCCACCCTCTCCTCCCCGCAGTACCCGAGCCCAGGCTGAATTGCCTTCTACTCTGGTTCCCCCTGGGGAACACGGATCGACCCTCAAGACCCCTCCCCGCTCCCGGCTCCGCCTCCGGGCTCCCCAAGGTGGATCTGCAGTGAAACATACAGTGACTCACAGTTGCAGACATCCTGTCTCTCCTTTCTGGCAGAAGGTGGCAGGCTGCTTCCTGCCTCATTGCTGCGTCTTCCAAAACACAGATGTGGCTTCTGAGTGAATTCACAGCGGAACCTGCTCAGGATTCCAATGACCCGGCTTGAATGGACCACGGGGGTCCCTCCTCCACGTCTTTTTCCAGCTCTGTGTAGCGCCAAGCATGATGTGAGCGCCTGCTCAAGGAGACCCAGGGAGCCCAGTGGGGCACTCGGTCTAGAAGGGGAGGGAGAACAGGTCTTTTAAACATTTACAACACACTATGTCACGGTTTCCACAGCCGGGCAGCCGCAGTTAGGCGTTTATTCGTTAAATACAATGACCTTTTGAGTTTGACGTTCTCTCCATTTCGCGGAGGACTCTGAGACTCCAGACGCGGTGAATTATTCAGGATCACACAGCCAGTATGACTGGCAGAGGATTCAAACCCAGATCACTCTGACCCCAGAGTTCGGGCTCTTCTCAGTCCAGCCTTGCCACTCCCTCCCAATTAGCACGGTAAGATGCCCGGGGGGGCCAAAGCTGTTGACTTTGCCTGCATAAGTGCAGGACCACTTTTATGGTTTCATTTGAACTGGTCTTTTAGACAAAATAGAAAAGATGTGGGGGAGAGGGAAAGTAAGTTTCACACAAAAGAAACAGCAGTTGCCAGGGCACTCAGTATAAAAGAACAAGGATTATGCTAGTGGCCTTTGAACCCGCATGTGTTGTTCCAACGGCCTTTCCTGTGTTTCATGTTCTGAGTCACCGCTGGGCATCGCCTGGTTGTCCTGTGGGCACCTTGAGCTCAGAATTTCCCAGGCTAACTACTTCCCCCTCTCTGCCACAGCCTGTCTTCTGAGTGGATCTCTGTGGTTCATGACCTCCCCGCACCCCGACGTTCTTGTAGGAACCCAGGCTGCCGAGACCAGGTCGTCTCCGAAGCTCCTTCTCACATCCACGCGTTTGCCAAACTCTAGTGATTTCCATCTCCACTGCCTTGTGACGGCAGGCTTGGTGCGGTAGCCAGCAAACTGTTTTTCCTGTTTATGCGCACTGCGTGGCGCCCGTAGGGTCTGGCTGGGGGTACCAGTGACTAATCAAATCCACTCTTTTCCTTTTGCGGAACGTGTATCAGTTGCTGGG